CAGGAATGTAAGTCTGGTGGGGTCCGGCTGCCCCATCTCTGTGACAAGGCACTGGCTGGCACAGGTAGAAGGTTAAAGCTGCAGTTGGTCTTTTTTTTAAAGTGCAAAAAAAATAAAAAGGGGGTGGGGAAGCAAAAAAGATGAAGGGGAAAAGAAACAAGAATGAAAGAAGAGAAGAGTCTAGATTTGGAGGCATGGAGCCGCACCCAGCCAGCTGCAGCAGGAGCACAGGACTTTGTGATGCCCCAACTTGGCCTTGGCACAAAGGCTTCACTGGGTTTTCTTGTCCGCTGGAGCCCTTGCACCCGATGTGTCAGCTACAGCAGCCCGGGTGGCATTGCCCACGCGGGAAGTGGCCTGGAGAAAAGGTGCAGAAGAGAGGTTGGTTAGTGGGGACACTTGGAATATCCCAATATGCACTATAACACGCTGGCTAATGGGTGAAACCGCTTCTCCGTGTGTGAAACAAGTTCCTGTTCCACCTGCTCTGTGGGAGGTCAAAGGGAAAGGGTGGCCACGTTTCCACTGCTGGAAGACCTCTGTGGGGATCTCCAGCTCTGGTCCTGTGAGTGCTACTAAACCCTGCAGTACCACAGCCACACTGCACAGTCATGATGTTATCAGTGGAACTGAGCCTTCTCAGCCCATAGGACTTGTCAGTTCCCTGGCTCGCCAGTTCCACCTTCCCTTTAAATAGCTACTATCCTCTTTCCCACACACCAAGCCATTCATGCCACCAGGCCTGGTCTGCCCCAATCTGCATCCCCCTGTCATGCCTACCCCCCCACACCTAGCACTACCCACCTGCTCCAAGACGAAGTCAGCAGTGGTGTCAATGACCACACCCAAGTCACGGTACTGGCCTGAGTAACGGATGTAGCCCCAGGCCAGCAGTGCGATCAGCAGCAGCCCCACCACACAGTTGCAGAGCTGGGCAGCCACATCCAGCCCCAGGAAGCCAGTAAGGCCCGAGCTAATGTAGAGGGCAATGATAGCGCTAAAGATGACGGCCGGAGTGCGGAAGGTGCTGAAGATGTTCTTGCTCTTGTTGTGCTTGGCAAAGTGCTCAAAGAGCTCAGTCATCTCCTTCTCCAGCTCTGCCTCATAGCGCTGGCTGAACTCCTTCCCCCCCATCTTCTTGATCTTCTGGAAATGCTCTAGGGCTGATGCCCGATGCTGCTGGTGCTTCTCCTCCAGGATCTCCGGAGAGATGTAGGGTTTATCGCCCCCACACATCTGGGAAGAAAGGGAGCATCATATAGGAGGTTGCATCTCTATGCCCAAATGAATCTATGAGAATTCAGAATATCCCCCACGGGAGTACGCCCCCCCCACAAGCTCACCAGCAATTGCAGGGACCAGGGCGATGGAGACAAGACAACTGGGTTCCATCCCCAGCTGTACGATGGGAGTGGGGGCCTGTGCATTAGAGCAGACGGCCAGGGAGTCAGAACTCCAGGGTTCTCTTTCCAGCCTCTAACAATATCTTTGCAAGTTCTGCTGATAAGCAGCAGACCTGCTAGCGACACTGGCAGGACCTGACTTCCAGCATGTGGGGAAAGTGGAATACACAGTTTGATCACATGGACACTAATCTTAGCTGCCCAACAGATGCCAGCCCACACAACCTCACGCACCTGCTCCATCTTGTTGTAATACATGTCCTTGGCAGATGCCACAGCTGCTAAGTTATTGGCTTCTGCAGTGGCCTGCAGAGAGAGGGTGAAAGCAAACCACTGAGCAGCACTGCCATGAGCATCACTGCTGCAGTGCACAGTGCAGTACCACCTGCTGCCTCTGGTGGCGCTGGAGCGGCTGCAGCCTCTGGGAGGCACAGGCTGGTACACACCTGCAGGGTGCAGATCCATCTGCTGTCAACAGGAAATTGGATTGCATTTGGCTTAACCTGGTATCCCTCTGGCATCCAGGGGACAGTTCTTACCCACTGCCTGGGTTGATAAGCAGGATGCAGCTTCCAGCTGAGAACAGACACCAGAGGAAAGCAGGACTGGATTTATGTTGCCTGCCCTAGAAAAGACACCTCTGGGCCAGCAGGGGCTAGGAGAGCTCACATTCTGAATGGGAGTCACTTCCAGCCCTTTGGAGGAATGCAGGCCCTGGCGCCTTCAGAGACAGTGGAAGGCAGCTGATCTTCAGGGCATGCTGCTCAGCTAGTCACTCACTGCTGTTTCTACCCAACAGCCAGAGTCAGAAGAGGTTTCTGGGTCCTCTCATTAGCCTCTTCCCCGGGCACAGGCTAGCCCTAGCTAACCAAACTCACCTGCAGCATGGATTTGGGGTGAGGCAGGTCCTCTCCTTGGTAGATCTTGATATAAGCCTGGGAGGGGAGAGTGACAGCAGTGAAAGTAAGGTGGACACCTAGGCTAGGGTTTAGGTGCTTATATGGCTCACATAATAATCTTTAATGTATTTATTCCTTTACACCTCTGGCAGTGCTGTTATCCCTATTTTATACATGGGGAAAACAAGGCAGAGAGGAGGTAACGGACTTGCTCAAGATCACTTAGGACATTTGCAATGGAGCAGGGACTTGAACCCAGACCTCCTCAGTCCTAGGTTAGTGCCCCAACCTCACAACATGAAATCACAGACCAGTGTCTGTTCACTTCTTAGTCACTGCCCTGGGAATCTTAATCACAGGAAAGAGGCAGCCTGGATCAGAACAGACTGACTGACCCAACCACTCAGAGCTCCAGTCTGTGAAGCTTACCAGCATCCCTGCAGCAATGGGGTAACTGGTCTCCAGGGGGAAGTTTTCCCCAACTCCATTGCTACAGGGTGGCTTTCCTTAAAACAGCAAAGGTTTGTAACCAGAGCTGGTCACAGAGTTTGCAACAAAACAGTCTTCCATCAAAAAGAACAGTTTTGAATAAAACAAAAATAGTTTGCAGGAGGGTGGTGATTTCAAAAGAATGTGATGGGAAAATGTCAAAACTAATCATTTCACTGCTCATTTTTTCATAGTAGAATAAACTGTTTTCATTTCTACTTGATCGTTCTGTTTGGACTATCAAGATACAAATTGTAATATTGTATTATATATATTGTATATTACATATGTTTAATTTAATGTACAATTTAATGTTATTTATTAATTTCGGTATATTGAAATATGTAATATATATAATGGATATTTATCTGTTAATATAAAATAACAAATATACAATGCTAAATGCAATCAACACAAGCTATTATATTAAAATATTGACTGTAAAAATCTAATGAACAGAATCCAAATGATCAAGTAAAAAGGAAATGCTTTACCTTATCAAATGCTTCCCATGGACCCCAATCAAAATGTATAAGAATTTTCATTTCACTGGAAATTTTGGCTCTTTTTACAAATTTTCAGGGGGGAAAAAAGCCAAAATGTTGGCATTCCCTGCAGAATGGAAACCCTGGTTCCCAACCATCAATTTGCAAAGGCTACCAGCCAGTGGCTTTAGCATTGCT